TCTGTTAACAACTACAGACAACATCTGTTAACAACTACAGACAACATCTGTTAACAACTACAGACAACATCTCCATCCTCTCAGTATTCTTTCTTTGTTGCTCCTCCTCATTTAGTTGCTGGTGAAGATTGTCAGTCGTTTGGGTCATGATCAGTTAAAAAAAGTTACTGTCGTCGTCTCAGGACAACAGGAACATGTTTACTTGTGTAAGATATTTTTTTGTTGTTGTGTTGCAGACTGGAGGAGCTGAACGTCTCTAATACCAAACTGTCTGCCATCCGATTTGAGGATGCTGCTCCAGGTTCAGTTCAATTCAGTTTCTTTCTGTAGCTCCAAGTCCCAACAGAAATCTTCTCAGGGCTCTGAACAGAAACATTCACAGACTTTCCAACATTTTTCAGTCCGGTCATCTGGACAGTTTTTTTTTTTTTGTGTGTTGAAACGTTTCGCCTTATATCCAGAAGGCTTCATCAGTCAAGGAAACACACAACAAAACTGATTCTTCCTCCAACAGCTTACTCAAAAGTGGAACCAACCAGTTCTGCTTGTGATAAGATGGTCTCTTTGGTACGTCCCCTCCTCCATTGCCGGCCCTCTTCCTTGTTGACAGTCTTGTCAAACTGGTTGAAAACAACAAAGTCCATGCTCAATAATCCAGGTATACAACCTGGATTATTGACTGACTGAAAAATGTTGTATTGTATACCTTGGATTATTGAGCATGGACTTTGTTATGCACAGACTTTATAAAAGACAATTAGTAAAAGTTCTCTCTCTGAGGAAGCAGCAGATTGTGTTTAATCTTCACTTCATCTCAGTCTTCATCCTGAGCGAGAACAAAGGAGACAGTGGAAAGAAAAACCTTTAACAGGAAGAAACCTCCAGAAGAACCAGACTCAGGACGAGTGTCCATCTGCTCTGATCAGCTGGTTTGAGAGGACAGGAAGTAGAAACAGACACAGAATGACGGGTCCAGGTGAAGGTGCAGGTGCACCCCGTGTTAGAAGACAACAAAAAAACATGTTTAGGTAGAAATAATTATAAATACAAAACAGGTAGAGTTCGGTTCAGTAACAAGTCAAATATTGTTTACTCGGTGGTTTCATTTTTCATTGATAATGTTTTTTCTCATGTTTTGTTACATATCTCCATCGCTGCACAAAATTAGAAAACAAGTTTAATTGTGATGACAATGTTAGTTCAGTAAAAAGAACCTGTGTTTGCGCCCAGACCAGTGAGAGTCCATTAGATTGACCACACATGTAATTAGCAGCAGAACATATAACGGTCTATGACAGGGCTATTCAACTGGTGGACCGGGGGCCAAATCAGGCCCACGAGTGAGCTCAGTTCGGTCCACAAACGTGTTCATTTTTCAATAAACCTAGATTTTAAATCTTAAAACAAACTTAATGAGAAGAGCGGCTGGATGTCCGGCCCCTGAGCTCTTGGCTTTCAGTAACTGTGGCCCCCTGAGCAGTTTGGTCTATGAGTTACTGCATCTGAGCAGTTCTTTGTAATATTGATTTTGGGTTTCCTGATAAAATAATCACTATAGTTTCTTAATATATTACGCAACGCTTCATGTCGTGCAAAAATGCTTCGAACTGTTCGAGTTGAAACTCAAGTTGTTCATCATTTCTCTGCAGGATGTTACACTGCCATGTTTCCATCTTTGAAGGTCCTCAATGTGGATCAGAACAACATCTCTGAGGTCAGTGAGTCTCCACACTCAGGCTAAAAGTTTGTAAAAAGAAGCTACACCTATAACTTAAGAGCAGCTAAATTCAAAAGACCGATTGCTTTGACCAGTTAACAAAAAGTGTGAGTTTGACACTTGGGTTTAAATCCACTTCAGAGAAATGTAATTATAAAATGATTACGGATGCATTTTGATGCAGCATCTTCAACAGAACCTCTGAGCTAAAAGAAAAGTATTTTGCTCCACGCTGCAGCATTCCAACTAGATTTTGAGCACTAAATGAACCGAGTACAGAAACACGAGTCTCCGTGCGCTCATCATGTTGGAGCTCTCTGACCTGTTCCCAGCGTTTCCACCACTCTGCCTGTGGTCCTGTTGCATCGTGTTGGGATGGCTCGAACACTCGACGTACACCGGAATATAAAAAAATACAAA